CATGAAGAAATCGGCGGAGTACCCCTTTAATCGGCGTTCTTAATCGATCTGAATCCTTCTATACAGTTTAATCAGTGGCGAGATTCACGAACGAAGAAACCCGCGATGCATTCGAAATACGTAAAGAAACTGCTTCGTTTGCCGACTAGCAGGATCAAACACATGAAAAGCAAAAAAAGAAACGCCAGTACAGGGCGTTTTCACGTGACTTCAATCCGCCATTTTGTTGTTAGTTCGGTTTTTCAGACAAAATTACTGATTTGAAGAATTATATCGCAACCTGCTGAGAAGATGTCAGCCTTGAAAGACTCATAAGCTTCTATGCTCTACGCATACGAGGGGTCACGAAAATCCTTGGAATGCTCACCTTCGGCACACGCCAGACGTACAGTTCACCAGAACAAAATGGTGGACGAAATTACGTCAGTGAAAACGCGTTATTTATTGTGAACAATTATATAAGTATAAGAAACGAGTGTTTGCGCGCTTCCAGGAAACACAAACGTACGATCGCGATATATTTTCACTATCTGCGGTGTATATATTCATACCTCGAGTGCACTTTGTGGTGCGTGTCACGCGCCTCTATAAACATCTGCATGCCTGATGTGCACGAACACGCAAAGCATTTTTAATCTCAGTAAACTTACGAGGGGCGTTCATACAGTTGTAGTATTATCGGCACCAAAAACTACCAAAAGGAGTACAAAACAACACGAGAGCGCGCGTCCCTCTAGTTGTTTCGGCACAGTATAAACATAACGCGTTATAGTGCCGCGCGGAACGCCGATAGGGTGTAGAATCAAATATGACACAACCCGTCGGGAAAATCAAAGCAGTGATCCGTTTTCTCTATTTGAAAGGAGATTCATTTTGAACTGGTGACGGTGTTCGAGAAAAACGCCCCAGTTTATGACGCGTGGTTAAATCACCAATCTCTACTGTAGTAGGCTGGATCGCGGATCGGGAGCCCGATCCGGACGCGTTCGAACGCGAAAGCCGAACACCACGCACCGGCGTTCCGCGCTAGAACGCGCTCGACGCGTGCAGTGGAGAGAAAGGCAGCTAGCTTTAGGTCTACCCACTAATCGTTCCAATCAGAGCTCGGCGTTCTTACGCCCCCTCTCCCTCAGTCTGTGCGCATAACTTCCATTGCATTCTCCTCGCGTGTGCACGTCCCCGGCGGCGCGCGATCGCGATTATGCCCGGCCATTTCCCCAGCGTCCGGAACGACATCTACGTGTGTGGGATGCCGCTGCTATTTTATCCGGCGATAATGATTTCAAGATCGGCAGAAAGTGTTTTTTTTTTATTGTGGTTGCACGAAGGAAATAAAAAAGTAAGACCAGGAGATATGACTCACTACTGTATAATTCCCGCAGCTGCGCGGAGTCTCTAGATAACACTAATAATAATAATAAAAATCACGTCTGACGCCAACGTCCCGTTCTGCCCTGCGAATGGTGTCACCTGTCGCGCGAGTCGGAGCAGATGCCTGAAAGCGCTTCCCGGGAATCCGAACGTCACGAACCCTGTTTCATTCGTTTTTTTTTTTTTTTTTTTTTTTTCCTCTCGTAGCATCGCGAGGCAAACGCTAGAACGCGATAATGAATGGAAGCGGACGGTAGTGAGGAAAATAGGGCTGTGAGTCTCGCGATGCACGTAAGAAGCGAAGCTTTAGTTAAAGTTCAAATGTGTCAATGCCGGACGCAGCTTATACCCACATCGCGCGATACGCGTCGAATACGAAACTTTCGTAACGATTTCTCTTCGGTCGCTAGAACGAAAGAGAATTACAAATGGCAAACGGAGGATCGCTAAAAGAGAGTATAGAGACTCAAATGTACGCGGTGTCATGTCTGTGGAAACAAAGCAGCAAAAGTACGCTCATTTTGTTTGTTCCAGCAACACGCAGAAATATGCTAATTTCGGATTTCTTGGTCACGAAAGAGGAAAAACCAGCTCTCATGCACGGAGCACCGCCCGAAGTGACGCGTCGACGTACTTCCTGGCTCGAATGCAATCGAACCATGCCAGGAGCTTTCGAAGGTGATAAGGAGTGTGCTGGAATCTCGACGCACTTTTGGCACACCTAGCCAACAAAGGGCGACGAAAGAATTTGAGCGTCCATTGGCGGTTGCGTAGAGCGTAGGGTTGCCACCTTTCCTCGACAAAAAAAAACAAAAAAAAAACGGCTATTCCGGCGGAACTGGTGGGTCGTAGTTATGCGAGATTGAACTGGAAAAAGGAAAGACGCAGTGTTGACAGTCTTACTTGATGCAGAGATTCAATCCCAACGTAAAATGCCTTGACATATATCTGTTAATACACCATAGCACAAGAAAGTACACAAATACACAACACTGAAACGATAATTGCTGTTTCCATAAAGCGGCTGCAAATTAAATAACGCTTGAAGTAAAAATGTCTCTAAGACACTGACATGATGCTCGGCGAGCAAATTTCGAGCGTGGCACCATGACTCCTTTCCAGACACCCATAATGACTTCATATCTATTATGGTTCCAGAGTGCCCGGTGTTTAATAATAGCTGAATCCCGTTCCCGCTTCTTTATTACAATATCGTCACGTTCTTTTAAATACTTGCTTCCTTCACTTAACCATACTCCCAGATATTCGTACTTTTCTACGTGTTCTATCACTGTGTCTTGTACCTCCAGGGGTTCCCTCTTCTCGTCCTTGAAAACTATTATACCCGACTTGACCCTACTGAAGTTTAGGCCTCAACTGTCCCCTTCCCTGCTGCAAATCCTAATGAGTTCCTGTATTGCCTCACGACTTTCTGATATGAGTACAATGTTGTCTGCATACATTCCTTCCTCCATGTAAGTCACGTCAAAACCTAGGTTGCGCTGCTCTAATCTTTTTACCATCTCACTGACGTATATCACAAAGAGCAGGGAAGACAATGGGCAACCCTGTCCAAGTCCTTCTTTTATTGCTACTGGTCTTGTAGTTTCGGCTTCCCATGTTATAACTTATAACCACCACATTCTCCATATATACCCGTTCTAGAAACTTAACTATGGGCCCCAGCCCACTGGTTTCAGAGTTTTTCGTGATTCACATTGTCATATGCCCCTTTGATGTCCAAAATGCTACCCATAATGGCCCTTGACTTGTCATTGCTATGTCTATACCCTGATCGATTATTATCTAGTTATCATCTAGTCGTCTATCCCTCCTGAAACCGTTTTGAAGTTCCCCCCGAATCTGCTTTCTCTCTGCCCATTCTTCCATTATTTTTACAATTTGCATAGCTAGTCTGTATATTACTGAAGTTACTATGATTGGTCGGTATGATTTGATACTGTCTTTGTCTCCCTTGACCTTATATATTAATCTCATCTTGATCAATTTCCAGTCACTGGGTACTTCCCCTTTTATAATGATCTGGTAAAAAAAAACCTGCCTGTTTCAATTTGCTTGTTTTGCCTAGAACTTTTATCAATCTCATTGGTAAATGAGATTGATGGAGCTGGTTGCAGTTCCAGCCGGAACCTTTCATTCTGCTTTTTCTCATTCCCCAGTGGTTATTTCCTCTTCTTCACTATAGTCCTCCTTTTGTGTTGTGTAGACAATGCCATTCCCTACGACCTGATCTGGTTCTAACTCCAAAAATGCTGCTTCGATTGTATGTCTAATGTATTCTCTTGCTAGACTCGACAAATATACATTGTTGCCAGACTTGAAAATTAATATTTCGTTTTTTCAGGCAAAACAATCTTGTTTGATGCATATATTGACACAGCTATTACTAAATGAGGTGATATACTACAAGATAATTGTATCGGTGTCATGTTTGTGTGTTTACAGGCAATTTTACAGTGCCTTTTTGCACAAGTGCATGGTGTGACAACGAGCTTGGATAGTAGGGGACGCAGTCACGATACGCGACTTTCGGTTTTGAAGCCTCAACAGCGCCAGCCTGCAAGTCTGTACACATCGTGTACATAGTAAAAATAAAGGCGATAACACCGTGTTCTGCCTTACTCTGCGATACACAGTTTCGTGCGCGAAAATGAATGTAACGGCTGCTGAGCCTTCACCAGACGAGATAACAATATTATTGTAAATATGCATGTTTTTCGATTTCAGTTACTTGACGCCAGCTTTGCATGAAAGTGTGCGTCTTCTTTTTTGCAACATCTCGTATTTAACTTTTAAAATGCAGATTTCTGATGTTAGGACACACGAGGACGTTTAAGAAGATGAGAAGAGTTAGCAATGTCGGATGTGTGACATCGGGCATGATAGTTTTCCGTTTAGTTCTATACGAATAGATGAAAACTGCGAAAGAACGCTAATTAAAGAGCAATATTTTTTTTTTTTTTTTTTGGCACAAACTACATTTGAGCCGAAAGCAGGATAGCTATAATTGCGAGGGGTGCTTTAAAGTGCTTGTCAGTCAATGTTGCAGCTACCTCGTTGCATCACTGGAAAATATATCAAATGATAATCACGCTACCCAGAATGTACCGCATCATTTGTCACTTTGAAGCTCGGCAGATTCGGTCCATCCATCACTATAGAAATTATCGTACTCTGCTCTAGCTGCGATGCTCCAACAGCGAACACATTTAACGAGTAAACGGGAAAGCATAAAATCGAAATGGAACAGCATGGCATTGAAACATGACCTTCATTTAAAACCCGCTTTTTTTTTTCTTTATTCTTTTTTCCCCCTGAGGGGTAAGTGTTGTTTCCACAACTACGACGTTGAACCTTACCGCGGTGCGTGCCTTCAGCCCGTTACCTACGACTACACTTTCCGGGGTTTTCTGTTTCAAAATGCCATTTCCCCGACGCTCAAGGGCGAGCCGGTGTGCGAAGCAACAACTGCATACGGGCTTCCCACGTAAACCAGGAGACCACAGCGAAACAACAAACAGAAAAACAATATAGCCGAGAGGCCGAGAGACGGCAGCAGGACATTTCCCTAGACCTACCTACGTCCCTAGATCCTGCCCCTACGCCTTGCGAGATGTCCCTGTGTGATCCTGGTTTAGCGCCTACACGTGCGGTCTAAAGTTTGGCAGTGTGACTCTCAAGCGGATATCTGCTTTATCTCTTAACATAGAAGCTGTATATCGCCCAGGTATCGAACGTCCTGTAAAAGAGACAGATGTTAGCTTGCGTAATGAAGATTACGGAGAATATATAACAGCGGTCACAGTTGATCCGGACGCCACAAGCGAGCCGGTACCAAGACGCGAGGCGTCTAACACAGTCACTCGGCTGTACAGCGTTTTCTTACCAATTCAGTGTTTCTGAAACGTGAGTAGAAGGTCTCTATCTTCTCCAGATGTTTTAAGTGGTAAGCAGAGGCTCTCGTGGTACGTACTCAAGAGCGCCAGCGGCGCTTTGTTGGACGATGTGGTAAAAATGTTCGCGCAGCTAACCTTAGGAGGCGTTGGTGGGAAATTTTTTTCCCCCAACATTTTCACGAACCACTGTAATCGTCAATCTCCAGATATGATAAGAAAGTTGGGTGGTACAAGGGATATGGCGGAGCGTTTTTATCTTCATGTGTTTGTGTTCTGATTCGAGTAACACAATCGTGAAAGCATATATGTTAATAAATTATACCACCCAAGCTGCTTAACGTTTTATGGACAGTAAGCGAGAATCTTGGATTAGATAAGGCTTCCAGAGTTCCAAACCTTGCATACCATGAAATTCAGAACTTAGCTCTATGCCGAAAGACCATAAGAGCAGTGCAGAACTTTGAAATAACTGGAGCATTAAATCTCAACATGGCAAAGAGAAAAGGAATGCGACAGCCTTGACACCATTCAGAGTTTATCTCATTACCATGAGTTGAGTAGACATGCTGCATCTGGAGACTATAGATGAATACAGTATGTGAAAATAAAAAAATAAAAGCAAAACCTTTTCTGGTTGCAGAAAACAAAGATGCAGCCCAGTTCCAGGTGGTCTAGAACAACTCTGGTGGTGGTGCTGCTGCTGCTAGTATCCTGCTGCACTGCCAAGATAACCATCATAGCCCCCCAAGAAGGACGGCAACCCGCACCTGTGCCCACCGAAGACGCTCCGACGGTCTCCACCGAAGACTTTGAGGCAACATCTACTGAAGATCCAGATTCGGCGTCGACGGAAGACTTCGGATCCACGTCCACCGAAGTGACAACACTGGTCGGAGGTCACTCAGAAAGAACCACGGAGGCCCAGCCTGAGACTCGAAAACCGTTGACCAACTACTCGGCTCCAGAAGGCAAGCCTCGTAGGGCATGTCCCAGGATGGAGGACATCCATCCGTGCAAGTGTGTCGAGTTCAACGGCATAACACCGGGCTCCATCGAGACGGTAGTCACGTGCAAGAACATCCGAAACAAGGAGGTACGTTACGTGCAACCACAGTTTGTCAATGCAGCTAGTCTTGCCACGAGATTTGCATAAGGTTTGCGGCTGATTACACTGATGTCTCTTGAATTCGGAAATTAAAGGCACGCACAAAGGCAACATGGGGTGCCTATGTCGGTACTTAGCGAACCTGTCTGACCCAAGGACGGAGTACACGGGGTGTTAGGCACATCTAAGCTCATTAATTAGCCGCAATACGGCAAGGTTTGAATTTCTTGCCGAGCTCGCGAACACCTACGACGAGCAAATATTTTATATGATACCAAACTATAACTGCATGAACTGTCGTGTGGTTAGACAGTAGCATAAATTCGCTCGTCACATTCTCAGTTCATCTTCTGTACTGAAAGGGCATTGCACAACACATCATTATATGTTGTATAATGCGCAAGGATAAATTAAAGGGAAGCTGAAACACTTTTTAAAAAAAAAATTAGACTGAGGTTGATTCTAGCGTAGTTTTGTCTCGTGAATCTGAATATCACGTCTGTTCTCCCCAAAGATGTAACTAAATGCAAGAAAACCCAACCAGTCGTTATGCCACAAGAGGATCTTTCGGCCGCCAAGCGCGTGTCACTCGTGTGGGCAGCGCTTGCAATTGCAAGCTTGCCAGGTATATTCCCCCGCACTGCCACCAGTTATGACATCGCTTTCTGCCCTTTTTAGAAATAGCAAGAGTGTGCATGCATAGCTTTGATAGGCGCTGAAGATTCGTAAGAGCAGAGATTCCGAAAACTCCTTTCCTGACATCGTGCTCTGGCAAGGAGGGCCTTCAGCGGTACTTTTGAAAATGACTCTTTATGCAGCCTCCGTGCACCAAATTGGAAAATAATGTTGATATTTGAGATCCTAGAGGTCAAATGAAGACAATTTAAAGGAGCTGTGCAACGATTTTAACGTTGAAAGAATTGGCATTTTCTGCTTTTGATATTGTTCACTGTGTCACAAATGGCAGAAAACACACCTCCTTTCATCGAAATGTTGCGATTCCGCCGAGTAATAGCGAGGCAAAACTTAGAATATTTCCCGACCTGCAGCCACGAGCGGCGGCCATGAGAAACAAGCGGCGTGACATCACTTGGGTAGTTGTAAAAAAGATAGCAAGTTGTGCGAATACCTGCTCGATAAAAGGTAACTTTTCTATAAATCTTGTCGTTCCAACATATATATAAATGCGTCAAAACCCTGGTATCATCGACAAAACTTTTATTATAGGGAGTATTAGTGGCGCCATCTATCCTAGGTCCACAAAACCGCGAATAGCCGCCAGAAGCCGGAGCGGGACAGCGCCGGACGGGCAAGGACGGGTATGGCCGGACCCGGATGAGACTTTCCTCCTTTCACCGTATATTTCGCGGGGCGCCCACCAGCACGTGGTCACGCGGTCGTGAGCGGATGAGTTCTTGCTGCTCGCTGATGGCTCTAAAGAGAGAACTTTTCCGGAACCCCGCGCCTACTCAAGTGACGTCACTGCGCACGTGACCCGGAAGACGATGTACGAGTTGAGAGGCGGCAAAAACCTGGATCTTTTTCATTTTTTTTAAATAAAAACTAGGGTATCCAGGCAAAATCTGTTTTCTGTAGTTCACTGCAGAAGTGTCAGGCATCAACTTCCACAATTATTTAAGCAAAGCCCTGAAATTGTTGCACAGCTCCTTTAAGTGTGCTTCCTCAAATACAAAACCGCTTCAGCTCCCTTTTAAGCACAATGCACGGGGCAGTTACGAAAATTCAGTGATCTTTCAATGGCATTTTTTCTATCCCCCCTCCCCCTTACTCAGGTTCTGGTAACAGCAGTCCAGGGATTCCGACACCACACTGTCAATTACTTCGTCATCGACACCTGCAACATACCTCCTTTCCCCAACAAAATGCTCAACAATGTCAAGGTTGGCTGGATGGAGATTGTCAACTCCACTGTCACCATGGAAGGGGGCTTCTTCAGCTGCTCAAAAGACTGCTTATGAAATCACTCGAGTCTCACCGCCACCCCACTTGAATATCGTAGCCTCAAGATGATGCATCATCTCTCAACAGTGACTCAATCAAAATCATCACAAACAAATGTGCAAAAAAACCGCAAACAGTTTGTTACATAGGGCCTCAAAGCAAAGACCCTCACGTGGAAGTTTTGTTAAGCAGACCGGTGCAATGAGTCCGTCATGCTGACGAACATTGTGGTCGGGCCTTAATATGGCCGAAATATTGTGTTCTCGAGTAGGGAGTGGTCCAAGAGGGACTGTTGTGGAGTCTGAATATTTGACCGCAGAGCTGTGTGTGGATGCGCTAATGACCGCAGGAAAGTGGCCGTAAAAAAGAGAGCTGGAATCTCTTTCCCGCTTGCTGAGAATAGTTGATGTCATCGATGTTGCCCAGCAACATTGTGCTTTTATCTTTTTTTGTTTCTGAAGCATCCGAGTGTCGAAGACAGTGCAACCTACGTCTATTATTGTGACCGTGTTTATAGTCGTGTTGGTGACCTTGCAGAATGCACCAGATTCTGCACATGCATTGCCAAACAGGCCTTATACTTGGAGAAAGGTCTACAAGAAAACTGGTCATCAGTCTAACTGATGTTAATCAGCAGTGATGTGTGTTATGAGGTATCTGCATTTACACCACTTAAGAAAAGAGTTCCATGCAGATATTTAATATGTGGCTCTCGTTTTATTTATTATTTATTTACTATGTGTCTAAAGTGACAGCTCACAACAAAAGTTAATTTCCAGTTTTTCGGAGATAAGGAAAGCAACATGAACGGCAGAAAGGACGAGGGCGGGACAAAACATATTTGCCACTGGTGGCTTGAACGTCTATTGACGTCCCTCGACGCCGCCGATAGATTTCCAGTTTTGGTTTTGATTGCATCTGCAGAAAAACGGTGAGCACACCTTGAGAAAAAGAGGTGTCGTATGCTCGGCTGTTGGTCCTTAGTATATCCTAGTATATCCCAGCTAGGGAGCAAGAAAGTCCATTCCCCGACTTCAGCCCATTCCATTTGTGTCTCAACAATCTGACTAGCTCTAAAGAGCAGCTGTCACATAACCAAAGCTGGAGTCGTTTGCGTTACTAGACACACAATGCTAGAACTGCAGCAGGCACAGAGGGGCAGTGAAGAATTCTATTCCTTAATTTTTGGTACTAGACAGTAAGGATGTCTACTTTTGAGGGAAGGTCAAATTATATAACTGGAATTGTTTCGACGTGATGGTCAATGTTGCAGTGCACTCAAAAAACTGTTGCTCAAGCCTCCAAACACAAAACACTCACGCAGCACTCACCAACAACTTTGTATTGGTTGTTGTCTGCTTCAACTTCTACTTCATTTTAAGATGATTTTCAAATAGAAAAATGAAAGAGGTGAAAAATTCCCATTTAACGCCTAGACAAACTTGCAGCTACATAACTAATCTCTTTTTGTGACAATATTATAAACGGCATACTAACACATTTGTTGCCCAGTCATAGAATGTACTCAGTTTCGATAATTTCCCTCAGTTGGTTGACACTTTTGCCTAGCATAATGCTGTGGTTGAAATGCACAGAGCAACCACGATCCCGACACTGAATTCCTAAGTGGCCAGAGTTGGCGTTTTATTTAGCTGCAAGTTTGTTTAGGCGTTGGAAGGGGACATTTCCCCTTTTTCATTTTTTGTCTTTTCTATTTAAAAATTGTTTTAAATCGAAAAAGAAGTAGAAACGGAAGTTTATCACACAATACAAAGTTGTTAGTAAGCACTGTGTGAGTTTTCCTTTTTTCTGTGTGCATGTTCAAAACCTAGATAGGCAGTTTTTCGAGTGCGCCGTAACGTCGACCATTGTCAACAACCAACTCGCCCAGTCTGATGTTCTCAATGCTTCAACGTTATCAGACTCTCAAATAAACGGGCTGGCCCTTCCAAGGATGTCCAAATCATGATCTATCATTGTAACGCTACACATGAATAGGAAAATGTATTGTTTGTGGAAGAAACTACATTGCCCGTCAAGCGGAACATGGAGCATTAGATTGCGCCACATGGGTTCTATTCGGGCAATGGCAGGAGTCAACTATGGCCCGAGCGGTGGCACGGACCAGACGCCACAGTTTGGGTAGAACTTGCACAAGCTTAACTAATTTTCCCACATTCCGCTCAAGTTTGGCAATAGCTTTACTTAGTGCTATACACCCACACGTGGCTCTTACGTCACGCGGCTGTAGTGGCGCTGCCATTGGCCAGGTGCATGCGTAGACGTTTTACTTGGCACGAATCTGATTTCTGCGCACTGCCCACACCTGCTGTGGCAAATGCCGACTCATTGGTTGTTTGTCTGTCTATGGGAATCCTCCATCGTCGCACCTAGGCTCATTGGTAAGTCTTCCAGAATTCTGTCGACAAACGTTGCATCTGATGAATCTGAATATATGTCCAATTCTGTGAGTGATTTCGTCCAAGAAAGCGACGAAGGGAAGACGTGGATCAACAAGCCGTACGTCGTAACCTCCATCCTTGTAAATAATAAAACGAAATTGTGGCATTTCTATCCATTTGTCTCTGACTTACAAAGCGTGGTGTCGCCTGACGGTAGCTGCAGTGAAGACTTGGGGGGGGGTTCCAACTTCTTACCAAAAGGCAACCAAAGCTCGAGCAATCTTGTAGAGGCCGTAAAATGTGTTCTTCAATTTCGTTAAATACTGTTTCGAATGTAATGCCCAATGTTAGTAATTTATAAGATGCATGCACTGATCTCTATGACAATTTGCTGAATCGTGCATCCTCGCTTGGTCGCTGCAGTGCAAGTGCGGCCACCAAAAGTCGACCTTTGGAAACGTTGCAGAGGCTGGGCGGTGGCGTGCTGAAAAACATTTTTTCTGCTTGTTCGCCATCATTCGCTGAAGATGATTTTTTTTAGAAGCTTGTGTGAACAATAGTAGTTACCTTTAAGATTGCATTGATGATGATGATTAGGAGTTTATTGGCGCAGCAGCAACGAGGGCCATAATGCGCCAAACTCAACATATTTAAAGGGGCGATGCAACGATTTTCGTATTTTGAGCAAATACCGCTTAAAACGGATCCCTGACGTTAATGACCTGTAAAATACCCGTTCGTTTTTCACCACATGCAATCGAAGTCGCAGAAAAAAAGTAAAGAAAAAAGAGCAGAGTTCACCCCCTCAACTCGCAGCCAGAACAAGCGGCCACGTGATATGGAGCCGATGATATGCCGCCAATGTTGATCATAGCCACGCACTGGGGTTGGCAAGGCACAGTACACGCGCTGAGTTCCAGACATTGTAATGGTTTGGTTGTTGTCTTCATTGCAGCGATTGGACACAAGACACTACCCGAATGCTTCTCGAGCTGTCGATTATCACGAGCCCAAATCGAGTGTCCACGCCATGCTTGGGTCCAATCTATGAGCCGCATTCAAATATCGTCACTGGGCGGTACTGCTACTGCCCAGCTACGTCATCGGGTTTTGCGAAGGAGAGATTGAATGAAAACACTCAGTTTTGTCCTCGAAAGTACAGCGCAACAAAGGAGTTTCTTGGTCAGTGGCGTTGCGTGCGAGTATCCTTGAGTCCCACTAGTGCCAGTAAGCTCGTGTAAAGTGAAAAGCATTCCAATTGAATATCGTTGCACCGCCCCTTTAACCTTTAAGATTGCGTGAAAAGTTTTACAAAAGAGCAGCAACCCAAGAAAAAGGCACAACTCGTCGAATACAAGTCTCGCCAGCCTCGCGGCGTCATCAAAGCACATGCCTTGGCATGCCAAAATGCTGCGTCTCTGCCTCGCACATTTGAATACCGTCAAAATCAATGCTGTGTGGATATGTTAACCCTTCAGGAAAGTTTTAAAGGTGTGTTGCGCGAAGATGTCTTTATCGCATACATATCGGTCGCAGAGTTCTGGATCGTCCAGCTGTTCCAGTAAGTGATCACTGGCCACCATTATGCACTATGAACAATTTTCGAGATCTACTAGAGTGAATCCGAATCACTTACATGCATAAAAACACAGGTAGAGAAATTAAGTGTGGGTTAAAAACGTCATTGCCACTTTGGAACTATGGAAGTATTTGGGGAATGGGGAAATCGAGAGAGATTTCCATATCCTTCAACTGAATTGATTGCTGGAAATATTTCTAAGGCAAAGAATGGTCGCCGCCATCACTGCGCCATTCCCCTCTATTCCATCGGCACGGAATCGGTGCTTAAAGTCGGGGGGGGGGGGGGGGGGTCTTAAGGAGTCTTGAACTCCTCGAGTTCAATCATAAGTACTGAATTTTGTAATCGGAAACGTTAGGGTTTTCCTTCAAGTTTTGTTGAGTAGCCATCTCCGTGGAGAGAACAAATGTGTTGTGAGTAGCCATGCCGAAAAGTAATCAGAATTCACACTGTTGGTCAGTTTTGTTTCCTGAGCACCATGCCGGGTTACACATATATTTTAATCACGTCGGTTTTGCGTGCATCTAATATAAGCCCCCCCCCACCCCCTTTACCAGAGTTTGTAGAGACCCTCCGTGACTTGCGGGAGACTTTAAAGGGACACTGACAGGGCCAAGGGTTTTATTTGTACATGACATATGGGAACCCAACTACTCGCAACATAATTTGCGGCTCGAAATTCGTTTTATTTCCGCCCGAAAACCAGTGATCGAGAACGACCAATTTGAGTCGCACTCACTCTAATTATAATGCAATGCAATTGCATTATAATTAGAGTGAATGCGACTCAAGTTATAATTATAATGCAATGCAATTGCATTATAATTATAACTTTAAATTTGCAAGCTTCACCCTTGTTGGTGTTAGACTGGTGGCGGCTGATAAAACCCGTTTGCTCTACTGACGTCTAATCCCTGGTTAGCTCAGTTGGTAGAGCGCTCCACTTGTAATGGAGAGGTCCCGGGTTCAATACCCGGACCAGGCGGATTTTTTCGGTCGCTCACCAGTCACCTAGCTGTGTTTGGAGATTTATGTTTGTCCTTTGTCCCTCTTGTTCCCCTTCTCCAGGGATTAATTTCACCATCAGCACTCACTCTCTTCTCCGTGGTCATGTGCCGTTTTCTATGGTTGAGACACAACCAACAAAGATAACTGAAGTTGTGGGTCATTGAAGGCACACACTCAATACTAGAAATAGATGGAAAATTCAATACCCGTTTTTTAGAGCTTCTAAAAAACTAAAAATACAATGATTGAGAAAAGGAAAAGTTGCACAGCCACGTTACATGTGGTAACTTTCTCCTTCTCTATATTTCTTTCTTAGGTAAAAGAAGGTCTATTCGGGATGTTCAGTTTTTACATAGGCTAATTCATAATGCAATAGACAGCCCTACTCTCCTCACCTGTGTTGACTTTCGCATACCACTTAGAACGAACTCTAGAAATCCTAGAGTCTTTTACCCAGACCTCATTCGAAACGCATCACCGGTTTCACGTATCCAACATGTTTTAAACACGCAATTTACTGACGTCGATATTTTTAGTACAAACCTGTCTTTTGGAGAACGATCATTTTGATGCATGTGTTTTTAATTGGCATATATACACGTTTGTGTGCTTGCATGTTTTTTTGTTTTTTTTTCACAACTCTTTATTTTGTCTACTCTGTATTTTGGGTGTATTTCAATTGTGTGTGCTTAACCCAGTAGGCTTTCGAGCTGTTGGTTAGCACAAGAGAAAAATAAACATTGATTGATTGATTGATTGATTGATTGATTCTCCTTTCCAGTTCAGCTTCGGTTTAGAGCAGTTGCGTTTTTTTATATTAAAAATATATGTGATGCTGTAGCAAAATATTGATTGTATAGTCTTCTAAAACCCCAATAGATCACCTGGCAAAAAAAAAAAATATTTTGGGGGTTGTCAGTGTCCTTTTAAGCACTGCACGGAATCAAGCTCGTTTCTGGCCTGTGAGTGCCGCAAGTTACAAATTCAGCCGTTGGACTAAAGCAAAACGTTGCTCCAGAGGCACATGCACCTTGGCGCGAGACACACCTTCAAAATCATCCGCACGGCGTTGAATCTTGATTGGTACTTAAGCATGCGAAAGCAGAGACGCAGCACTTCGGCTTGCAAAGAGCATGCTCTTTGATCACGCCACAAGACATGTTTGACGAGTTGTGCCTTCTTCTTGCGGTGCTGCGCTTTCGCAAGAATTTTTATGTGTTCTCAATGGCAATTAAGACTACTTACACAAGGTTTTAAGTAACTTACTTGGCAAATGACAGCAAATGAGCAGAAAAAGTGTCTTCAGCACACTGCTGCCTAGTCTCTGGAATGCTCCAAAAGATTGACTTCCGGTGGGCCCAAGATGGCCGATATGGAACTTCCGGTGGCCGCATTCGCGGAGCAGGGAAGCACAATTCAGCATTTGTCATGAAAATCAGTGATGTGTGTTAGATTTTCGTTCCGCGCGTCAAGTGCTGCAGACAACACCGGAAGAAGTCAAACAGTGTTAACGTCCTTAACTCGTGGCTAGAACAAGCCGTCTGATATTCTTTTGACGGCTCAAATAAGGTAATGCTCAACGTAACCACAAGTGTGATTTGCTGATACTAGTAACACGAGCTGCGCCCCGGACATCGTTAGGGTTCTGAGGTTTTTGTCGCCACACTAATGGCCACAAAACGTGAAACCCAATACTTCACGGTAGTTTGACTGCCATCCAGTATCAACAGGTGACGCGGCACTCACATTCAATCCGCGAGTCCTATTTGACAACTTAAACCGAGGAGAATTGCAATAAGAAAGAATAGAAAAAAAATGTTGACCCTAATTTTTGAAACTTCACAGTTGAAGCCACATTTCTGGTCCCTCAACCTCGTGCGCTCAGTTTACTTGTAGCATCTTCAATCAATTCACACCGGAACTGCCCTGGAACCAGGACAGTGCACAGCGCACTTCGGTCGTGCAAAATAAAGTCTGTGCAACATCGAGGTCAAACTGCACGGTGCCGGTGCACCGCGGCAACCACCACCATGCATCACCTTGCGCTTTGTTTGTTTTTTCTTGCGTACGTTTGCACACAGTGCCCGTCCGCTGCCAATTTCTTTTGGTTTTTTACTTCCAGGTTTAGCGGTCACAAACAAACAAACATTGTGGACGTGATTGTCGATGGGGTCACGAAGCAGGTGACAATTCCACAGGTATATCTTGCCCATTATTGTTGGTTCAAGGAAGAGTACTACCCGATAATAACCATACCTTAGGTGTCATCAAAATGCCTCGCAACGCTTTCCACGAAGTTCAGCAAAGGAAACGACGAAGACCGTGCCACGTGTAGTGTGAACTATCTTCAACAGACTTCTATGCCATTTGTGACCGACGACGAAGGCTACACTACAGTGGGACCAAGACGACGAAAGAAGCCTTCAGTTGGAACATCGAAATCATCCAAGGTGACCACTGTGCCTCGTCCCCCTTTTCAAAAGGCGTTGTTTGTAACTAAATTTGGCCCCGAGACAACAGTTGAGGATGTTAATTCGCTTCTTGAACCTGTCCTACGGGGGAAAACTGTTAGCTGCACAAAG